TGTAGTTTTCTTTCCAAGATTTTTGTATTATTTGAATGGCAATGAGGGGGAGACAAGTCACAGCGAGTGCTGAACTGAATCGGGAGATGCGATCGCTTAGGTTTAAAGTTGTCTGTCGATCGGGCGGTGAATTTTCAGTTTGTTTGCTCCGTTATTATTTTGTTGACTTGTAAAATAACCTGTTCGCCATAAATCGTGTTTTCCGTTCCCAAAACTGTTGTGAAAAAATTAGTGTGATGATTCTTTTTCCATCTTCAATGCGTAATACATAGTACCGGAACAACTGCTGGCGGGGACTACTGCCGGTATCTTACATTCAGTTCACTTTCCTATATCATGTATAAGAAATCAAACTTCATTGAATCCGTCAAATTATTTATTGAGATTGTGAAAATTAAGAAAAAAACCCCCCCAAAAAACAGGTAAAACAAGGATGCTCACACACACACACGCTTTTACAGCTGCTTGTCTCGTGCTTTACGTGTAGCCATGGTGTAGCCAGATATATTGAAGATAATATTTAGTAATCGTAGTCCTAAATAACTATTAAAAATAGCTAGACGTTTCGAGCAATGGCTCTTTATCGATAGCATAGAAGCAAGTGTGATAACGTACAGGTAGAACATAGGAACGTAAGAACGCGCATGAACTATAAGTTAGAATCACAAACAATTTCACAATAGAACAAATAACGCGCCTAAAGCCTGGCGCACACGAGAGCTATCAGCTCAGGCAAAATTCATTCGTGGCTGTTTGCTTAAGCAAATATCTTCCGTGTGCGCGCAACTTTACGCAAGATTTTAGTCACTCGTGGCGAAATGGTGAATATCTATTGTGTTTGATAAATTTCGCCACTCGTGGCAGAATGCTTTCCGTGTGCGGTGAAATGAAAGCTATCTGCTTACGCGTACTCGTAAGTGCGCTTGCGTCGCGAATGTTTACATAACAACAAAATGGCTGAGAGAAAAAATCTGAGAGAGGACTATACTTAAGGTACCTATATGTATAGTATCAAAGCAATCAGACTTGCTGTTTTCAACAAGAAGTCGAAAATATCACTTTTTACCAAAAATGGACGCCGACTGACAATCACTCATATGATAAGCTCCACTCGACAAAGTCAACAGCCGAGCTAATAAAACATTGTTTATGGTGATAACAGCTCATTGACAAAGCGAAGCTTACCAATTCATGCTTAGCCTCAATAAACATCGTACTCTTGACTATGGTAAAACCTAAATTAGACTCCAATTTAAGCATCAGGAAAGATTGAAATGTTTACAATATTCATTGCATGATCGTTAATTAGGAGTTTGACCGGGGTATTGGGTTTTACATTCAAACATGAAACATGAAACAGACATTCATGCATAGTTTAAATTTTT